CTTCACTGACCTTGGTGTCTGCAGAGTTGTTTCTCTCACATATTCTCACTCCTCTCTTCTGGCTGCTGTTGCACAGCAGTTTTTTCCCCCTTTTTCAATACATTATCCCAGAGGCGCTACCACCATCGCTGATGGGCTCAGCTTTGGCCAGCAGCGGGTCCGTCTTGGATCCAGCTGGCATTGGCTCTATCAGACACAGGGGAAGCTTCCAGCAGCTTCTCACAGCAGCCACTCCTACAGCCCCCTCCTACCAAAACCTTGCCGTGCAAACCCAATACAGTGTTCAGCCTTTTAAATAGAATTATATGTTGCATTTCTCTGTAAATTAAGTGTCCAGCAGCTGACTTTATGCAGACTTTTCAAAAACCAAACCTCCTGTGTGATTGTTTTCAGGCTGCCTCTCACGTATGGCTGCAATTGGGTTTATCAGACAATTCATAAGGTAGAGAAATAGACTGCGGTCTCCATTTGGATCTTCTGAAGTTCGTATTTTCTGTACAGCCAACAAACTGGTCTTCCATACCTTTCATTTTATCACTGTTTCCTTGGTAATTAATAGTATGAGAGAAATATTTAGAAGCTGACATGAAATGGTCATAGGCATAGAAGACGTATGAGGCACAATACTAGGCTTGCTGCCATTGCCATCAGCCTTCTCCTCACCGAGATTCCCACCTGTTCCTCACAACTGTTCCCATCCTGCTGCTGGCACTCCTTCAAGCAAACCTGCTTACATCTTCTGGCTCTGAGCTACACCTTTTCACCATACATTGACTTTACATCAGTGTTTCCCTTCTGCAGCTATTTGCAAACGTGGCTTTTCTAACTAACACAGCAGTATTCCACGCCACCAGCACAGTTGCTCTGCAACTTTCTGCCCTTTACCTGATCATGTTATGTACATCTAGCTCCACTTCTACTTACAATGTCTTCAGTGCTTCCTACAGCTCCTGTATTCTATTCATGCAATTCCAAAAATCCTCTTGCTTGAAGATTTTCTTAAAGGCTACAGCACAGATGACATCTACTCTCTCCGTCGGACAGCATCTATCTACCTGCTCCTGCTGCCATGATTCGTTCCACTCCATATTCTAGCCCCACTACTTTTGATGCTCCCTTTTTAACAGGCCCCAAAACAGAGGTTTTTGCTCGCGTATCTATAACTTCTATACAGGCAAATGAGTCCATGAACTCATGTGCAAACGAAATGTAAAAATATCCCATGCGCTAAACTTCGCGGGTCTGACAACACCTGAAATTAACCTCCCCCACATATATGTTAATTCCTATAAAGTATATTGCTTATGAAGTTATAACTCTGCAAGTTTGTCTACAAAAAGGAATAGATTCCCTTTCTCCAGAAACAGTCGAAGTTACTATAGGCCACTAAATATATTACTGAACCTTGAATAAGCAAAAGAATAATTTATATACGTTACCAGAAAAAAAAGAGCAATGAGAATTTCATTGCTGATCTGTTTCAAACTAGCTAATAAAGAAGGCTGCAAAAATCTTGTATTATCTCAATCTTGTCAGAACTCATATATCACGACCAAAAGAAGAGGCCCAAATGGCTGTTTTCTTAGGTCAGTGCTACGTTGAAAAACGGTAAACTAAGGATAAAATAAAAACTGGTGGTTCTTCACATGGCTGGCAACTTAAAAATTCACTGACTGCAAAATCTTCTTTCAATAATAATAAAGTATACCATACACTTTGTATATACTTATATACTAGTCATATGGCACAGTGACAATAAGTTATAAATCAGATAAAGAGATTTCATAGAAGTCATTTATATACAAGGAACCAAGCGAACTAGGCTAAGTTCCTGTAGATGATACGGATATAGGAAAGTTATAAAACCCTAGATAAAGAGACAAGAATAAAATATACTACTACATATCAAACATATTTCTGTTTTGTCTTTAAATGTTACTTCAAAAATTGTACTGTTCACAGCTCGTTCTGTGTTCCTGCAAAGAATATACCTAATATACAGATCTTTTATATAGTCATCTCAGTACAGCTTTTTAAACGATACTCCTCGGTAATCAATTCTCCAACATTAATTCCACGGTCATCATGAAAAAGAAAAACCATTACTACCTGGAACTGGTTTTGGTACATTTTTAGAACCTCCCGGAGTTTCAGATTTTCCTCTTCTAGTTTATTCTTGTTTATTGCTATTTCATTCACAGTTGCCTTTAGCTTTTCAATAATCAACTCATCCTTTCCATTTTCAGGCTGGCCATAGCTAATTACATCTTGGGTTTGTTTTTCATTGCTTATTTGGAATTGATAATTCTGGGCCTGCTTCTATAAAAAAAGAAAATCCTTTAAATGAAATTCAACAATTACGTGTAAATTGCTAGGACCAAACCATTACTACTAAAATCATAAAGCTATGTTGATCTTCACCAGGAGATGGCAAAAGATGCACAACTGGAACAGTTTGCATTACTTCTTTAAATCACAGAATCACAGAATGTTAGGGGTTGGAAGGGACCTCTGTGGATCATCTGGTCCAACCCTCCTGCCGAAGCAGGGTCACCTACAGCAGGCTGCACAGGACCTTGTCCAGGCGGGTCTTGAATATCTCCAGAGAAGGAGACTCCACAACCTCCCTGGGCAGCCTGTTCCAGTGCTCCGTCACCCTCAGAGGGAAGAAGTTCTTCCTCATGTTCAGACGGAACTTCTTGTGCCTCAGTTTGTGCCCATTGCCCCTTGTCCTGTCACTGGGCACCATTGAAAAGAGTCTGGCCCCATCCTCCTGACACCCACCCTTAAGATATTTATAAGCATTTATTAGGTCCCCTCGCAGCCTTCTCTTCTTCAGGCTGAAAAGGACACTTCCTTTCTTGAGTCTCGTGTTCCTTGCCCTCAATAAAAAACATGTTTCAGAAACTTTCAAGGGCACAGATTTTTTTCAAGGATTTTTCTCCTCTGCTGTGTATTTCCCTAGCACTTAATGTTAATTAGCCTCAAATGTGAAAAAGGTGATTATGATGACCTGCTAAAAGCAGTTACCTATAAAGAATAATTTGAGAGAGATGTTGTTCTTTGATTCATTGAACTCAGTAGGAGTGGTGTGTGTGTGCCTCAGGACAGACATTAACCTTTGACTAGAGGGCTAGCATTACATAGATCATGTATAAACAGCTCAGTTACTACAGGAACTGTATGCCTTTGTTATCATTGTCCTTAAACTTGGGGAAGAATCATTTGCACATTCTGCAGAGAGTCCCACATTCCATTCAGTTTCTTGTACTAATTAAAGTCCTAAAATCAAAACTTCAGAAAACTGGTTTTGGCAGCATTTGTGAATTCACAAGGCACTGTGAAGAAGTATAATTACTATGGCAACTGTTTTTCCTTTTAAAAAACTATCCGCATGGATCCCTCTACTGGGAGATTAACTAGCAGCAGTAATCTTTCAGAAAACTGAGAATTAGCTGAAAAATGATAACAAAATATAACCTGGAAACCATACATCATGCGCAGAGATCAAGTTGAGCAAGAAAATGTATATTAAAAAGAAACAGGGTTACAAACACCATATTTCACTGACAAGGACTTCAAAAAGCCATGCTTTAAACAGCTTTTCATGTCATTGACTATGTTCCGATAATTTGTGTTGGCTGAACACCTAAGTAGAATTGACCATTGTCTGCATATCAAATAAAAAGCCAAAAGAAATTTGCAGGCAAGTTGCATTTCTATAGATAACAAATTATGGTCCCCTTGACGTCTAAGTTATGGAGTCTGGCATACCAAAATGCTAGATTCCAGCTGGAAATCAAAGACCTCACAAAAGAGGAATTCGAGACAAAGACACAGGACCAATTAATGTTTTGAAACAGTTAAGGGGTAACAGTCCATCAGACCCCTGTTTAATAAATTAGCCAGTGTTATGTCACAGTTGTGAAGAAAATTGTCTTCCAAGAAAATTCACTGATGGCAGTGAAAGCCTCAACAGGAAAATGTGGATGATCACCTTGAGTCCTCTATTTTGACTTGTCTAACTACGTAGTCAACATGCACCAGTCAGTAGTTTCGTCTAATCAAAGCCTTACTTTTCTAACACATTTGTATGGAAGCTCAATAGTTGCAATATAATGCTTTCAGCATCTATAAACAAAACTTAAATGCCATCTTTGCAAACTTGGGATATGGGTAAAGAGTCTCACAGGAGTTGTTAAGGAAGTGTTTCCCTAGATTAAGACCCAATGAGCTTAGTAACAGCGGAAAAAGGGATTACCAGTCAGCAATGTAACTGGATTCCTATTACTTAATTTTCAAGCTGCCGTGTGGCCCAATGAATTTGTAAGTTATTTTCTAATTTTTTTAGAGCAGGACAGGTCATCAAGACATCATTAAATCAATATTTTGTTCTGTATTGGAAGGAACTGAAAAAAAAAAAGCTAGAACAGTAGGCTATATAAAAAAAGTAATAAGCAAATTCACAAATGAAAAAATCTCAGTCATCCAATGACTGAATGGTAACTTGAAAGCTGAAAAATATGATAAAAAAGGCATAAGTGATCCAACAAACAACTGCAAGTATGATTTTGGAGTGGCATATAGAAATTCATTTTTCTGCATAAATTATATTAATGTATATTTATCATCTTCAAAAAAATGAGGACTATCTTAGATTTAAGGGAACTTTATATTTGAGTTAACATAGTAATGGCATGTACTACTTACTTCATAAGATACTTTTCAATAGCTTGTTATCACAATTAATTGTGTATTAGTAAATATCATAGAAGATAAAAGTATAACCACAGTATACCTAAAAAAGTAAAAAGGAACACGCACTGCTTTTTGCAGGATTTTTTTGTATTGTATTTTAAAAATATTGTAATTTTTATTATTATATTTATTCATTTTCTCACTTCCATGAGAAAAATAAAATTAAAATAACTGTATGTATCATCGGATCTTTCAGTACGGGTCTGCCTTATCTAACGCAATGTACTCACTACCAATAGATCCATGAACTGTCAGATTCACTATAAGCTTAGTGGTGTTAGGATTTTTAAAATTAAGTTAAAATAACTCTAGCTGAGCTAACAGGTCATTTAATTCTCATTTTCTTCCTAAAGCAGGAAGGTATGAATTTTACCTGAAATAAATGACATTTCTCGGACAATAATTTTTGTTGAGCATCTAAATAGACAAGACAATTTTGGCAGACTGTCCCCTTCTTATCCCTATCTTCTGATTTTGCCTTAAATTCCTGAAAGAGATCAAAACAAGACAAGTAAACACAGGGAAAATAACTTTTTTCCTTAATCTAAACAACTTTGTAATTTGTATTGTTCTAAGGAAAATGTAGCTTTTTAATTTTTACATATTCTTTCCATAATTTTGGATAGAATAAAAAAAGAACAATGATATAAACCAGCCACCCAGCCATCCCCACCAGAAAAAATTCAGTTTTAAGGGCTGTTAATCTGAAAAAAATGGGTGGTTAACACAATCATTGAATAAAAATAATAAAGTATTTTAAATCACTTCCATTGCTGTAGATCTTAAGAGTTATGACTGTAATACACCCATTTCATTGGAGGATAGTTCTTGTGACTTTAAAGCTATATCAGTGTCAAGTAGAATAATCAGCAGGGAATCAAACCTTTCATTTCAGACAAATATTTTGAGTGCGTGCTTTTTTCTTTTTTTTTTTTAACAAATGGGACAGCAGCTACTGTGAATAAATTTTACTTCTTGGTCTCTCTACAATTGCTGCTTCTGGTTCTAAGTTCACCGAGTTTAAATAAAATCTTGTTTAACAAATTTTATTATATCAGATTTATCTAATACTGGTTTTGTATTTGCACTTACACTGCTGTTTACAGTGTATTTGAATTTGCTCTTAACTGATACGAGATCTTATATGTTCACAACTAGACTTCAAAGGCAGTATCCTATAAATCAGTAGGACAACTCCAGTTACTAGAGCTGTTGCTCTTTGAGTTTGAAGAATAAGCAAAATAACAGTATACTGTTTTATACAGTGAAAACTGTAATACTTTTAAGCTGTTATGAGAACTTCCTTTTTCACAATGGAAATGTTGGTTCCAAAAAGCCATGATTTTTTACGAATACCCTGAACTGGCATACTCCTCAAATTTTAAATGCTACTGAAACAAAATCAAATGCTTTCCAACACATATTGATACAAATCTTCTCTCATAGCTTTCCTAATATCTACTCTGGCATTTTAAACCAATAAACATCTTCCCATTTTACAAAATGTGATACAAATGGAGTTTCAGACTACTTAACGAGGACTGCAGGTTCAAGGCCTTACTAAAGCACTGCTGAGCTTAGTAGATTTTCCACACAGTAATTATTTCCTGAATGCAAGAATTTGCTGAATATATTCCAAGTACTCATTTTTCATACTGCACAATTAATCAAATTATAGCATTGTGTTACTTTATTTTCACATTTTAATCTTGAATAAGGTCATTCTCAAATTAGCTGGATCAGACAGTTTCACAGTAGTGATATATTTAGTCAACGATAGACTATAGATAGATAGTCAATAACCCATTTATCATTCTTATAGTAACAGATGTTGGCAGCTATGCTGCCGTCCAAAGCATAGTAACTTTTCTGATGGTGAGGACTCTTCCACATGGAAGAGGCAGCAACATTATGTAGACCTAGGATGTGTCTAGGATGTGTCCTATTATGTAGGAACAGTCATATGAAGGTCGCAGAAGTTAGTCCTATGTTTTCTAGAATAACACAGAAGACAGGCAAGTCCAAAATAAAGATCCTAAAACCCTTCTTAACTGCAGCTTAAGTACAAAAGTACTTATAATCTATTAGATCTTAATTTTTTGATTGTAAAGTTCTCAAAGTGCCTAAATAATCTACAGCATAAATCTACATCATAAGCCTGTAAGTCTTCACAATGCTTAGCAGCTGGGCAGCTAGCTCACACAGAATCACAGAATCACAGAAGGGTAGGAGCTGGAAGGGACCTCTGTGGGTCATCTAGTCCAACCCCCTTGCCGAAGTAGGGTCACCTACAGTAGGCTGCAGAGGACCTTGTCCAGGCGGGTCTTGAATATCTCCAGAGAAGGAGACTCCACAACCTCCCTGGGCAGCCTGTTCCAGGGCTCCGTCACCCTCAGAGGGAAGAAGTTCTTCCTCATGTTCAGACGGAACTTCCTGTGCTTCACTTTGTGCCCATTTGTGATCGTCCAATGCTTCATCAGACTAGTGGTTAGACTGTTCTTCCCATATGTGGAAGACTCAGTATCATAATCTTCTCTCCAGACACAATCTGAATCAGAATCTTTCCATATTAATTTTCTACCTAACACACAAATGTTATTTTTCAAAAGGCTCTGGAATTCTTCCTCTTGAAGTTGTTTTACTTTACACAGGATACCAGCAAATTTATTGGGCAAGTTAAAAAGAACAAGCAAAAATTAGCACAGCTAGAGATCACATGTCTGAACTATAAGAAACGAGGAGGGATATCCCTTTCTGCAGCAGTGAATGCAGCCAGAAAAGTATCTGGGGAGCAGCCACCACTTGGAGGCACACTCTCTATATGCCAGTCCTCTGGGCTGGCTAACTCTCCTGTTGGCCCAATAAATATTTGATTATTCCACAGATCATAAAGTAACTTCTGACGCTGAAAAGTCAAGACCGGGAATTATGATCAGAAATCAGTATCTTCCTGTATCCAGGAATAAGTTGGCTAAAATCCATTCTGTGTCCGGAAGGATAGGGAATATGCCAAAATCCTGTCCTCAGCATCTCACAGTATCGAGCCCCCACTCAGTATGTTGGATTTTGTATTGTATGTTTACGTAAGTGCCTGATCCTCATGAGTTACTCAGGCCAACTAGGCACTGAGGTCAAGGTTGTGGGTTGCCTCTGGCACATAGGTGCTCACAAGAGATGTGTATAACAAACAGTTTTCCAATCCTACATCATAGAATCACAAAATGATTTGGGTTGAAAGGGATCTTAAAGCCATGGGCAGGGACATGTTCCACTTGGTCAAGTTGCTCAAAGCCCCGTCCAGCCTGGCCTTGAACAATTTCAGGGAAGAGGCAGCCACAGCTTCTCTCGGCAACCTGTGCCAGTGCCTCACCACCTTCCTTTTTCTATCTAGCCCTACGTGGTCAAAGTTGTTCTGGGGTCTATAAAACTTGAATTAATGGTAGGTATTACGTGACAGTATCCTGCATACGTAAAAGGTCTCATACCTCTACAGATTATATTATCTAGGACACTTACATTGATCAGGAAAAAGGTAAGAATTTATAATTACACTTATGAAGAAAATTATCTATATTAACTCATAAAACTACTAAAAAAAATAGTAAAACTTGGATAAAGAAACAAAACCTGAATATTAAACTATGCACCTTTTCTTGCCAGAGCAAAAAAAATAAAAAAATTTTTGTAGAATTATCAGGAAATTAAAGTTTACCACCATAAACCACAAATTAATTCTAAATATATATTAAAATCAGAATATAAAAACTAAGTATTCTTACCTCTAGTTTCTTGTATAAATTGCTCAGTTCAGATGGTGTCTCTGGGCTTTTCTCACATTTTTCTCTACTTTCAACCTTTTTTTGTTTTAACTGATGTGACTGTAGCTTTTCATAACTATTTGTCAACTTCGAAAACTAAAAATGAAAGGACAGTTGAACATGCAGAATCTATCAACGATGACCATGTGGTCAAAGTTTTCTTTAAAATAGAATTGCCAACTGCAGCTTCAGCATTTTAAATATTTAACCAATGTAACAACGAATCAATTAATACAGTTAATGTCTTAGAGATGACCAAGACTAAGCTCTCATATAAATGCTAACTAACTGTTCAAATGGGTTGATTTGACAGCTACTTCATTCTGCTGAAGTTCTTTATCGCACTGTTACCCATAGTGTCATTTCCTCTACAATGTTTATATGAAATGTTCTACACTTGTTTACTGCCATCTTGTGTTGACATTTTTAAAGGGTGCTTCACCAGCCAGCATGAAGGATTATTATTAACATATTTTAAATTTGCATATTTATTTTTTAATCATGAAAATTGTTGAAATATTATGTATGTGATGATTGTGTTCTTCTGGAATCCTTAAGTACCAAAGAGTATCTATGAGAATTAGACAGTAAATACTGTTCAGCCTATTGATCTTACCCTGAAAGCATGGCTAAGGAGTCAATGGCAGAGTCAGTGGCAAAGAGTCAGAGGCAGAGAAGGGAAGATACCTGTAGAAGTACCAGCATCTTCAAATGGTAGCAGCCCCTTCAGAAGGTAGCAGCCCCTTCAGAAGAATGGCCAGTCTGATCAACAGTTAGCTATACTACACAAGAAAGGGGGCTAGTGGCCATCTACCGGCTTGATACAGCAAACTGTCGCTGCCTGGTAGAGATATGTACAGCTGGTTTTGAAAAAAAATTAAAAGGAAAACCAAGGATATTGACAAAGGAAACACTAAAAATATGGTCGTAAGGGAAGCTGAATGAAAGAACTTTGTGAAGAATGTTGAGTAGAAAAGAAGCTATGAATACTGACCATGCCTCTTAGTGTTTTGTTCCTTTAAATTCAGTTATTTATGATGGTTTACATTCTCTGTAATAATTAGAGCTTCACTTAAAAAATTCTGACTCTAACATAAAATTCTAACCAAACAAAATCCATAAAACCTCATATTTTTGTTAACTGCTCAAGCAAACTACTGTCTGGAAAAAAAAAATTTACTTCCAAGGAAGTAATTGGAAACAGAATGGAATCCTATTGAACAAACCTGGAATGAGCAACTGAGATCTGGGCAGATAACAACGATGGCCAAAAAGGCCCAGAAAACATACAGAACAGAAACTGGAGTTCAAAGATCACCTGGAAACTTCCTACAGACTTTTGAGAAGATTTTGGGAACTCATAATATGAAACAGCAAAAGTAATTGAAAAGACCAGCAGATGATTGTCCTAGACTAGAAAGTTTCATGAAATGAGGAGATCCAAGGATAGATTTGAACAGCTTGGAATTTCTGAATAGAAATCCTGTAACATGGACTTACAGAGCTCAGATACCACCTTGTGATGAATTAAATCAAAATTAAATCAAAAGTCTTGCAGAGAAGCTGCCTGTATTTGAAAATTACCTTGCTGGAAAACACAGTTAAGATAAAATATTTAAAATGGGTCAGATTATCCAGGCTCAAACAACATGGAACTCATTGCCTCTGGAAGAAACATATCCTTTTTCAAATAACAGGAGTTTTGCTCTTGATTATCTTATGGCATATGTGAACTGCCTGGGAAGAGCAAACCCAGATGAAGATAAGTATTAGCCTGTTCACATTAGAAAGGCTAGGAAACAGGGGATCCAACACTTCACCAAATCCATCTGAAATGGAACAGAATGGACAAAATGAGAAAATTTAGTTTGAATATTAGATTAATGAAAGTAGGGAATTATTTCAGACAGATTATAGTCTGGATGTTATCATGACCGGCAACTAACTAAAAGGCAAGAATCTTACCATTTAACACTATATATGTGATTTAAAAATAAGGTGCAAGTTGTTCTACTTGCATATTGTACAAGTTAGAAAAAAGCTGAGGCATTTTACTGAGTTCTGGGATGGGAATTACCTAAGTCTAGGCTTCTGAAAATTAGACATCCAAGCCTAAGCTTCTCTGCCTTGGAAAAAGCTTCCTGCAAAGACTTAGTCATTTCAGCTCTCTTAAATTCTTGTCATACACTGAGATGAATCATATTCTAGGGCTGTCCGTTTCTCCTCATTGATTCTAAAGGGAGCCTGAGGTAGCTCAGACGTAGCCATCTAGCTTTTAAATGTCTAAGTGAGGCAATTAGTTGCTAAAGGGCTTAAAGCAAGAATAGATTCTTGATCTTTTGCTGAGAGATTTCTGTCATTTTCAAAATTAGAATAACTACTAAACATTTGTACACAAAAAAAGTGAAGGAAGAAAGTAATGAAGATGAACCCCTAAAGATTTTGCTGTAATTATGACAAAATATTGTACATTTGAATGAGTGCAGCAGCGTGGCCTAAGAGTTTCAGGTGACATACCAGGAACTATTTCCCTAATACAAGAAAAATACAGGTTTTACTGCATTCGATGGGCACACAATCAGTTCAGTGGGACTGTTGCTCGTTAAATAGCTGCTTTTATCATATCAAGGGTAAAAAGCACTGAGGACCACAGAAGCAGTACATCAGGCAGAAATTTGTTCTGAATAGCCTAGCATTCTTAGAGCTAGAAAAAGTGATCCTTTCTATTTCTACCAAGATTAGGAAGGAACAAAAATCAGGAGGTATTTTACGAATATATCTGCAGAGAAAGATACAATGCCAGTGGTAAATAGTAACACTCATCCCATTTGTGCAAAACTAAATTGTAGCTCTTAAGATTATACAGTGTAGAAGGAGGTATAACTTTCAAGTGAGGATAAGAACCAAAGGAAGAGAGAAAAAGGAGATGATAAGGCTAAGATTAATCTTGTCAGGAAAGCTCTATATATTAAATATGACTTTGTGCAGCTCAGAATTGGGGACATTGAAGTCATTCTATTGTAGACGCTGCAGGACTGTAATTTAAGAAAGAAAATCAGTAAGGAGACATGGTAAAAGCTAGAGGAGATGAGTAAGACAGTCCTACTATCTAGCATAGGTGCTTGGAATTATTCTGACAGGCAAACTTTCTGTTTATCACATACAGAATCTAGGCAGGCTTCCTAACTTAGGCACTTAACAGTTTACTCCTTGGGTCAATGCGTACTGAATGGATATTTCATGAAGAAATATGGTTTGGTGAAAGGGGAGGAATGGGAATTGGAAAATAAAAGGCAAACGGCATCAGTGCTGGAACCTCTGATAAAATAAATAGGATGACTGAGAGAGCAGGAAATGTTTGGAGGCATAGATTGGGAAAGTGATGTATATTCTGAAGAGCTAGAAATCCAAACTTCTTGCATAAAGATAACAGGAGAAGCAATCAGGAAACTGAAAGAAAGGTTAGGTGGTCTGAGGGGTAACTAAAAAGGAGAATCTTGGCAAGAAGTATAACCAGGGTTACAGAGAGAAATTTGTAGGTTAGGGATTGTAAGATTCTTTAAAAAAACACAAAGAGAAAACAGATTCTATTTGCCCATGGAAGGGACTTGTAGGGTAAATAACAACTTCAAAATTTAAAAAATTATGAAAAAAGACCTGAGGTTGCAATTTCAGAAAGTTCAATTTCAGTGAAATTCTTAGCAACAACATGTAACATAAAGTCAGCCATTTTTAGCATGTATTAAAAAAAAAAGTGAAAAATATTGCAGGAAATGTGAAAAAGGATGAGAAAAGAGAGTTCTGCTGTACTTTGGGGGATAGTTCTGCATTGCTAGAGATACCTTACAACTTAGATGTAAAAAGTCACACCGTTTTTCATTGTATGATGTTTATCTTCTCAATAAGCATGCTAAGATATTTCTTTTTCCATAAATTGTGTAAATTATAAAACAGTTTTTGTTTCTAGCTACTTTACCAAAGGATTACAAGTGTTAATTACATAATAACTGAAACATTCTCTGCTCACGCACAGAACTGTTTGCCAAACCAATTTCCATATATAAAAGAAAAAATAGACAACATAACCTTAAAAATAAGTTATGTATTTATTGGTTTGATGGATTTGGGTGGTAAATGTTATCACCCCTAAATGAAAATAATGGAATTCAATTTATGCATGCCAAGATGATTCTACGATAAGTGTGATAATTGGAAATTTTTAATTATAACACTAAATCTCTGATAGGAGAATCCAGTGAAGGAAACAGTAGAATAGAAGGAAAAACAATGTAGAATTGTGCATATTAACTTGTTAAAATCTGAGAAACAGAATAGAGTGAAGTTCGCTCAGAATTTACACTCATGATTGAAGTGGAAAATAGTGAAGAAATAAAAATACAGGCACAGAGCAAACACAGCCAAATAGAATCATAGAATCATAGAACCATAGAATGGTAAGGGTTGGAAGGGACCTTGATGATCACCTAGTTCCAACCCCTCTGCCATGGGCAGGGACACCTTCCCCCAACCCAAGTTTCACAAAGCCCCGTCTAACCTGGCCTTGAACACGGCCAGGGAGGGGGCAGCCACAGCTTCTCTGGGCAACCTGTGCCAGGGCCTCACCACCCTCGTCGTAAAATATTTCTGCCTTAGGTCCAATCAAAATCTACCCTCTTTCAGTTTAAAACTGCTACCCTTTGTCCTGTCACTTACAGGCCTTGGTAAAAAGCCTATCCCCATCTTTCCTATAGGCCCCCTTTAAGCACTGGAATGCCGCAATAAAGTCTCCCTGCCGCCTTCTCTTCTCCAGGCTGCACAGCCCCAACTCTCTCAGCCTTTCCTCAATGGAGAGGTGCTCCAGCCCTCGGATTATCTTTGTGGCCTCCTTTGGATCCGCTCCAACAGCTCCATGTCCTTCTATGCTGGGGGCTCCAGAGCTGGACACAGGACTCCAGATGGGGTCTCACAAGAGCAGAGCAGAGGGGCAGAATCCCCTGCCTCGCCCTGCTGGCCATCCTGCTTTTGATGCAGCCCAGGATACAACTGATTTTCTGGGCTACAAGTGCACACTGAAATAAATAAAGCCAAAACAAATTCCCAGTGTCAATAATCCAGGTTACTCTAGTTTTTCACTTATGGAAAGCTGTCAGACTACTTTAATAATCCCTGTAAATCAGGCAAACTAGAACTAGAAAAAAATTATAGCAAAGACATGACAAGAACAGTTTCAATCTTAAAATTCCTAATGTACATCAGAGTCTTATTAGCATGACTCTAACAATCTATTTTCTTCGTTCACCAAGATTTTAGGTTATTAGTTGAAAATCAGGAAATTGAGTATCTGACTTCATAATAGATGTCACAATCACATCAAAATCCATCCAAAGAGTCTGGACATGTCAGTACAGAAATGATAATGAGGCCTGGTAGGAAGCTGTAGTCATCACCATTTACATGACAAAATTCATCTTTCCCAAATCCATAAAAGTACATCTACATCATTAGGCATGTATAAACCCTTTATACTGCAATCATAAAGTAATGAAACTGACATTTTTCTTACTTGAGATTTTAGTGCTTGAAGCTGAATTTCATAATTCTGAGCCATTTCATATTTAGTTTTCTGTAAGTCTTCCAGTTTCTGTCGAAGCAGACCCACCTACAGTTAAAACAAGCATTCAAATTTACCTTTTCGAAAGTGTTCCAAAATATGCAATTTTTGGAAGAGTCATTTGAAACTTTGAAAGAAGACTGTTGCTTAAAAGATAGATATTAAAAATATATATTAATTCAGTAACTTAATAATAAAACTGTAAACCACAAACTCAGATTGTATCAACCTGAAGTTAGATATTTTACAGTAAAAAATCCCACTGTATGCTTATATTATGATTTAATGATAATACTGTATGAGTCTGTCATGAAGACTGTTTAACAAAAGCATTTCTAACCCAACTACGCAAATGAAACGCTGTGCCTCGTTGTGAAACTTTTGCTTGAATGGCTTATATAATCCTATGAATGAGTTTCATCTACTTATGTACAAATTATTGGGAGATGCTGTAGACTCATTTCAGCTCCCTGAGTACAGTGCCATTTGAGATATCTTGAATTATCTGAGAGTTTCACAAAGATCTGAGAAATATGAGAAAAAGCATACATGACATCTATGTTTTTCTGGAGGGGCAGCTGGAAGCTAGGTGGAATACGCTAAAATATTTCAGAAAACATCTCTGTCCAGGCAAATAAACTGATGCTTTAAGGACTGGCTAGCTGAATTATTCTCTTGGCTCCTCTGACTGCAATGGCTAAGGGCAAGTTCCTAATTGCTCATTAGGGAGAGTTCTTTAATTTTCAAAAGTCCCACTGACAGTTTAGACACCTAGCTCACACAAGGCTGCCCATGTGTAAACACCTAACCTCAGATGTCTTGAACTAGAACTGAATGCTGCGCTAGGATTTGCTGATGCTTCTGAATGAATTTTCAGCAGACACGACTGTGAAGTACGGACATCAGGTACACTGGGGCTTTCAGTTTGATAAACAAGACTAAGTGGTAATACAACATGAATCTTCACTATTAATAATAAAATTATCATACAAAGACAGTATATCATGTAAAATCATAAAAATCTGGTAAAAACAGGAATTACAGACACATAATTTTGCTAAACTTTTTGAACTGTAGATTTCCATTTAAAATTTCTGATGAAACTAAAAGTTTTGGCATTTAGAAAAAAACATCAAATTATCTTTTCACAGCTAAACTGAGAATATTTGATTCAGACTTTAGGGAAAAAGAAGAAATATCAGACTTTCAATGAAATTTTTACAATCACTTTTCAGAACAGAAGCACACTTCAAAACAAAACATTAAGGATAATTAGTGACCTTTAAAGGGTGTTTGGTATTTTTATATGATAGAAGAAACAGGTCTCTTTATAAAGCATTTAGAGCATACTATCATCTAACTCCCAGAATAAATACTTTCTTCATAGAACATGATATTCTTAAATACCTCTTGACCTTTTTGATTCAGTTCGCTCTGGGCACTCGCTAATTCTTGATCCCGGATATCCATCTCCGCTTCTAAAGCTTTCATCTTCTTTTCCCATTCCACTTTCTTGCTGTTTACCATGATGTCAATTTGATGCACTAAATCCTGAAGTTCAGCTTCACACGGAGAAGCTCTAATAATATAAAAAAAGAGATTTAGTTTTTCAAATAAAGAATAAGGGAGAAAACAATTTTTTATTTACATTGCTAAGATTTTATTTTAATTCTGATGGAAATAACCACTTTTCAACATCAGAAAGAAAGAAATGGGAAAGCTAAACGATGCCTTCAAATGCAGGTGGAATCTCACTTCATGTGTCTTAAGTTTGACTGAAGTCAAAATCAGAGTATTTAGCATATTCTGGACTATCTGCCGAGCTTAAATGCTGTTTGATACCCTCTCACTCCTTCAGGGTTAACTGTCAAATGAGCATAAGTTGAGCTGAAAGTATGCAGTGGACAATGGACAAGAGTAGGAGAAGCTGAATATTCAGTTGCTTAAGGGCACAGGACTTCCCACTAAGGGTACATAAGGTAGGTGACCCTGCTTCGGCAGGGAGGTTGGACTAGATGACCCACAGAGGTCCCTTCCAGCCCCAAGCATTCTGTGATTCTGTGACCGAGGCAGAGTTTGTTGGAAGAAGTTATTAAACAGCTGGCTTGAAAGCGAGCCACAATTCTTCATTGCTTGTTCGACTTTTACACCCAGTTTTCCAATTCTCTTTGTGGAACGTGGACTTAAATAACAAGGTGACTTGTATAATAGTAAGTTTTAATTTGACTAGGAAGCATAGAAGTGAGTGCATTTCGAAAAAGGAAGGGACTGTGTGCTGGATTTCATGGAGATCTGTACAACATCTGCAACATAAACATTACATTTTTTCCCAAACTTCTGAGATTAAATTTAGAATACATCCTTTACACTACAACTTCACTGTTAGTAATAGACAATGTTTTATGCTGTTGCTTTAGGAATATGATGTGACCTTAGTAACAAAATAATTATATATGCTTAATTTACGGTATATTAGAAGGGCCATCAAAAACTGAAAACAGTCAAAGTTGCCCTCTTAGTTGCCCTCTTATACTGAGACTTCTGTAAGAGCAGTATATTAATTTTAAAAAATGAAACTTTTTCCAGACAGTGTCAAATAATGTTTAAATCAGCTGGTGTGTGCTATCTAGCAGATATATACAAAGTGTCTGAATTTTAAAATGGAGATTTCTTTATTCCATATCCATTCCAACTTTGTATGTGATGATGAATGTAAGAAAAATTTGAAATAAGAAAGGTAAAGGCTATAGAAAATTTGGCTTTGGATACTTTTTTTATGCAAGAAATTGCATAATTATTTCTACACTCTAAAAATTTTTATTTGTAGAAATTACTATTTCACATCAAAATTATACAGTCCTTCCAGGTTATATGAGATTTTTTTTTCCTGAATTATTCTGGAGAGCTTATTTCCCAGTTAACCTCACTTGTTTTATGAATTGACAGCTTCTCTCAATCTGTAAATTTACAGCTGGCATTTCAGATTTGAAATGATTTATTTAAAAGTCAGAATCTTTCCAGAACTCATGTTTCAACTTTCAGTGAAACATTCCAATTAGAAGAAAACTTTATATCATAATTAAATAAAACTGTTTATTGAAATGTTCCTGAACATTTTATTTTCCTGACTTAAATGCTTCTTTATCCACTTCACCAAGGATTTTAGGGTTTGGGAAAAAGATAAAAGAGATAATGTACACTCCTGCCTACTTCCTCCCCATAAAATAAAAGAAGCAGAATTCTATTCCATTAATGGTAAGAGCTGCCTTTGTTCCAGTGCTCCATCACCCTCAGAGGGAAGAAGTTCTTCCTCATGTTCAGACGGAACTTCCTATGCTTCACTTTGTGCCCATTGCCCCTTGTCCTGTTGCTGGGAACCACTGAAAAGAGTCTGGTCCCATCCTCCTGACACCCACCCTTCAGATATTTATAAATATTTATTAGGTCCCCTTGCAGCCTTTTTTTCTTCAGGCTGAACAAGCCCAGCTCCCTCAGCCTCTCCTCATAGGGGAGATGCTCCAGTCCCCTCATCATCCTCATAGCCCTCCACTGGACTCTCGCCTGTAGTTCCTCATCTTTCTTGAACTGGGGAGCCCAGAACTGGACAGAGTACTCCAGATGGGGCCTCACCAGGGCAGCGTAGAGGGGGAGGAGAACCTCCCCCGACCTGCTGGCCACACTCCTCTTAACGCATCCCAGGATCCCTTTCGCCTTCTTGGCAGCCAGGGCACACTCCTGGCTCACGGTCAACCTGTCATCCACCAGGACACCCAGGTCCCTCTCCACAGAGCTGCTCTCCAGCTTTTCTACTTTTCTCAACTTTCTCTCAACTTTTCTACTCAGTACCAAAAGGGGCATATATCTCATTGAAGTGAAGGAAAACCTTTCACTGACTGTTTTTAGCCAATGGAATAAAGTGTTGAATTTTAAACTTTTGAGGAGTAGCATCTCTTTTGTTTCACTTTCTGTTAACATTTACTTTCCACACAATTTTTTTACTGGCATCTATTACCTTGCATATCCTGTTCTCATGAGTTAACTGTTGATAAACTTTTCTACTTCTTTTTGAGTTTTTAGAGCCTTTTTTATAACTTTCTTGTTTCCTGTTCTCGTTTTAATTGTTTTACATTTTTTTTTCTGAATAAGATATTCATTTATAAACTACTCTAATATACACCTTCATGACTTTCTTTAGAGGACATACTTTTATCTTCTATTGGAATGTATTGAAATGCGTTATCTGTAGTTGTTGCAACCTTATTTTGGCCATGAAAAAAAATTCTTATTTAAAATCTTCAAATCACTCTTTTCTTTTTTCTCAAAATTTCTTCCATCTTTTCAAAATTTCTGCATTTTTCTCTCTGCAGTGATTTAGAGATTAGTGTGTCCAATTACTGCAATATCTAAATGAAGGTGTAAATAAAACCAGTGTTGTTTCTCCACTCTCAACTCTCTCTCCCTTATCTCAACCAGTTATACTGTTTGTAAACTGTTAGTGGCATACCTGCTTTCTCTTCACTTCTTAAATCTGTCACAGTGACTATCCATTGTTCAACTGAAGTTTAACCTGCATTTGATTTTCATTTCCTCATACTATTGCATAATTTTTAAGTCTTTCTTTTTTCGATTTTTATTAGAAGCCTATGTTGAATTTCCTGTTGATATAATCAGCAATTGTGTTCTTTCCTAAATTTGTTAACTATCCTTCCTGATACCTAAACTGATGCAAAAAATAAATTGTAACCTTTTACTTTTCGTTGTAATAAACTTCTAAACTTCCTATAAGGTTGCCCAGAGAAGCTGTGGATGCCTGGCAGTGTTCAAGGCCAGGTTGGATGGAGCTCTGAGCAACCTGGTCTAGTGGAAGATGTCCCTGCTCACGGCACAGGGGTTGGAACCACATGATCTTAAAGGTTCCTTCCAACCCTTACCATTCTACGATTCTATGATTCTATAAACAAGTTTCTTCACTTAGAATAATCTAAGAATGCTGTGACATGGTTTTGAGTTATGACATGTTCCATTTTCCTTTTAATAATATTATTTATCTCACTGACATTTTCTCCAAATCTAAAAGTGATAGCCACTGGTTATAATTTAATTGGTTCTTTAAGTTATAAAAATTTAAATGCTATGTATTCTCTTGACTGCCAATGGTACACACCTCTGTGTGCACCTCCGTGTGCACATAAAGTGCCGTTATGAATGCTAATCATTCTGAAGCCATTCTCATATCTCTCTGGCACGATGGTTTGTTAAAATGAGCATAGCTATTTCCTTAAAATGAGCATAGCTATTATTTTATGAAATAATTGCCATAGAGACAGTCACACAGAGACAAAAGATGGTGTAGCATCTGAATAATGTAGCAGCAACCTACAAAAGAGTTAATGCTAAAAAGCACAGCGGTGTGTCTGTAACCGCACCATCCTAGGAAACCTTGGAGAGGATTTCAATACCCAAAATTAGCACAGAATGGCATTTTGTGTCACGAATGTTACAATCTGGCGTACATTTTTTGGCGACATTGCAACCAAGAACGTGCCAAGCAATTAGGAACTCTGCTTCATCAGAAACACATTTCACCAAACACAAACTGCGCCGTGCACTCGGAGGTAACATCCCTGATGCCAGCGAGCCTTCAGCTGCTGAGCGTGCTGCCAGCACATCGCTGAAGAACAGCAAGTCCTCTACTGTAAAAGAGTGTGCAAACTAAACCTTAATACAAGCAGATGCTTTTACTCCTGGTAGTTGATACCACCATCTTGTGTGGTATCATGCTAGCATGAAATGTTTCCTTTCTTTTCTGGTAGTCTCTCACGTCCCAGCTGTTCAGGCAGCTCTCCAGATGACTGCCCTCCTAGTGCCCTGAAGTCTCCTGTGTGTAGGCTGTGCCCTGGGTCAAGTGCTGGTCCCACACACTATGCACTTCAAATCCTGCAAGCTCAGCTTCTGATTGCGCTGCACTGACATGAGAGTTCCTTAACACAGAATTGTAGAATAGCTTGGGTTGGAAGGGACCTTTAAAGGTCATCTAGTGGATGAATGGGTCTGTGTTTATTGAATATCTTTTTTTGTGGTGCTTAAATGGTCCGTATCTCTTGTTGGGATAATTATTACAGGAAATTGGAGCAAATTTGTTAGCTTTACAATATCATAATTAAAACTCCACATGATTTTTTTAAAGTAAAATTCTTTAAAACTTTTTTTGTATCAACAAATGCTTGAAAATTTCACATTACCAACATTAAGCTTGGAAAGACTTTTTAAGTACACATAAATCTTGATGGCTTTTTAATGTTAAAACTGTTAGCAATGCCTTTTTAAAATTTAATGTGAGTCATAGAATGATAATAACCAAAGTGCAAGCAAGTGGTACACTGAGATGTACACATCACAAAACAAAAATATCCCCTCGGCACATGCCTGAAACTCATCTCAAAATAGCATTAATGATCCAACAAACTTGGATTTCCTCTGGGTGGAATATAAAATGGGATTTTAAAAACAGAAGATGAAGTGCTACCGCATCAGGATTGTTACCTTTTCTATGATACTGCTGTAAGGACCTGTGCCCTTCCAGCCTCGCATGTTGTCAGGCGGCAGCACTTTGGTGACCCTCCAGCAATGACTCAGCCATCTGATTTCAGCCTTCAGAAATAGTTACTTTCTTCATTGTGTGTCACACGGATCATCTCAATATTGTTATGCAAGTGCAAATGCAACCTCTAGCCCGGATCATCAGTTCACCCTTTCAGGCCCAGCACAGCTGACATCTTTCCCTCTGAAGTCTCACCCATCTCTTCCAAACCATCCTGCACAAGGCAAGTCCTGCAGTTGTTGCTAGAAAATTTGCTCTCAACATTTCTTGCACGTTTCTTGAACCTAGGACCACCAATATTTAAAAGGGAGCTGTTGAAGGAAAAATTTCTTCTGAAACAGCTTCTCAGTCTATCTCCACCTTCTCGGTCTACTCCTTTAGCTAGATCCTTTAGGTACACCTGCAGCTAAATAAGGAAAGCTGTACCTGAAGCTGTAGATTACTGCTGCTGTTCCAGTATCAGAACTACTCTGTATCACAGCCATGGCACTACAAACAGATCTGCATAAAGATGTATTTGGCAGTTACCCCCATCTACTAGCACAGAGGTACTACTTGCTGTCGTAACTGTTACAGAATCACAGAATCACAGAATGGTAGGGGTTGAAAGGGACCTCTGTGGGTCATCTAGTCCAACCCCCCTGCTGAAGCAGGGTCACCTACAGCAGGCTGCACAGGACCTTGTCCAGGCGGGTCTTGAGTATCTCCAGAGAAGGAGACTCCACAACCTCCCTGGGCAGCCTGTTTCAGTGCTCTGTCACCCTCAGAGGGAAGAAGTTCTTCCTCATGTTCAGACGGAACTTCCTATGCTTCACTTTGTGCCCATTGCCCCTTGTCCTGTCACTGGGCACTACTGAAAAGAGTTTGGCCTCGTCCTCCTGACACCCACCCTTCAGATATTTATAAATATTTATTAGGTCCCCTCGCAGCCTTCTCTTCTTCAGGCTGAACAAGCCCAGTTCCCTCAACCTCTCCTCGTAGGAGAGATGTTCCAGTCCCCTCACCATCCTTGTAGCCCTCCGCTGGACACTCTCAGTAGCTCCTCATTTTTCTGGAAGTGGGGAGCCCAGAACTGGACAGAGTACTCCAGATGGCCTCCCTAGGGCAGTGTAGAGGGGAAGGAGAACCTCCCTCGACCTGCTGGCTGCACTCTTCCTAATACATATTATTTTAGTCCCTTCAGTGTTTTGAAAAGAGTGCTAACTATCCCCCTGAAAATATGGCCAATCATACAGTATCATAATAATGAGAAATTTATTGGGCCACTGGATGTGGAATGCGGAAAACTCTGGCATCTTTTGTTTAATATGCCATCAGGTAAACAAACACATAAAGACCAAGTTTTCCCATAAAAAGCAGAAGTATAGGGTTTTTACTCATATGAATTCAGTATTCCCACTCTGCTGAATGCATACATCAAATGGATTCTTCACACATGGAAGTAATGACTTGTCCTTATGCGAGTGGCAGGCGGGGTTTTTTTTGTTGCATTTACTTTGAAACAGCTCAAAACACTTAAAGGTATCTCATTTTTAAAGTGAGGTAGGCAAGCTCTTAGTCTTTTATTCTGTTTCCATATTGGTGAAATTAGAGATGATTCACATTCTGCTGTGATAACTACTTATCTTCAAGTAACACCTAGATGTTTCCCAATTAGAACAAGCCAAAATCCAGATAATAAGTTTCACCAACTCCAGGCCTTTATCACAAATGATTTTTGCACTAGTTAGACCTTCTAGCTTTATTTACCTGCCTTTTGCTTTGGAGTTCTGCACAGATCTGTATTTTTCTGATTATTTCCTAGTAGACATAGAAAGCATCTAATTGTCCATACACTTTAGAAGTTGTAATTTAGAAACTGACATCTTAAGAAATGTTTGGTTCCTGCTGTCAGTCACTACTTCATGCCTGCTTCCCTTACTACTCAAGTTTGCTGCCAAATAGGAAAATATGTATGACCATATTTATGCAAACAAAAGCAAAACCTGTGTGGAACAACATTAACGAAGATTTCCATCTTATGTAGTACATTCATCAGGTTTTTACCCTTCATCCAGCTTCTGCAGCCGATATTAATTCCTTTTCTCTTCTTAAAACTTGCTTTAAACATAGGAAATACAACAACCGGTTGCGATACAATAGTCCATAAGAATCTTCCACCTGAAAGTTCCATTATATGAACTACAACTCATTTATTTACCAGTTTTCAGCCATACAGAATCATACACATCTGTGGATGGATAATTTGTGATTTATGACTTCTTGCACCTGGGATGTAATTATCATGATTTCTACCACCATTATTCAGCCATATTCACAAATTTTAAAGCTATCTGCATTACTGTTGGAATACTGTCAGCACAGACTGAAATGAATGTCTCCTGTCACTGGATGTGTATTCTAAAGTACTCTTCCAGATTCTTTGTATAGTTAATGGAAATAAATAGCTACCTAGAATACCTGGTTTATGGTGGGACAAATCACTCTCTAGATTCATCTGCAATGGCCTGGAATTTCACATACGTTGATTACAATGAAGGCCAGGCAGGATCTGAACTCTTGAAATAAGCCTCTGATTTGTTAAAAAAGTGTCAAAAAATATCAATATTTTGATTTTTTTTTAATTCAAGTTTTTATACGACCATATTTACCAGTCATATCACTAACAAAAAGAATGCCCCTCAAAGCAAGTAAAAAGGGCCACACTGTTCAGAATATAATATGTTAATGTAGCAATTTTTTTCTGTCATGAAAAGTGCAGACATTATTCCTCAGTACAACAGAGCACACTTCCAAATCCTATTATTGGGCTAGAATAAGGTGTGCTAGAATATGTGTGTTTCTGTTATTTTAAGAAATGCTTTTACACTTAATATGCATCATACAGATGGTCCTACATCAGACTTCACCCATATTTAAATTTCTTTCGAAAGATTTTGTGCTGTACTCAGTTTTTTTTTTTTGATTAACACTAAAAGAACTAAACTTGGATTATGTCAAAATAGGATGATTGTATTGTGATGAAAGCTGCACTTAATACTTGGTAAGAACAATTGTGGTTATTACCTGTGCAAAATAAGGGTAAGGGTTTAGCATTAATAGCCTTGTTTTTAAGATTTTTGAATGTTTTAAGAGCTGTGATATGTAAGTTTATACTACTGTAGCCTAGCAACTTCAACTATTTTTTAGAATAGTTTAAAGTAACGTTTCTTAACATTTTAATAATACCCCACACAGCTTTAATTTTTTCTCCTTTTGTTCGGGTATGAAGATTTAAAAAATTTAAGTAACTAACAGAAGCAGTGAGTAGATTGTTAGCTAAAGCAGCAAGATGTGTTGTCTTAATTATCAGCAACCTCTCCTGTTTGCATAGAAAGGCCAGGCTGGATGAGGCTTTGAGCAGCCTGGTCTAGCAGAAGGTGTCCCTGTCCATGGCAGGGGGGTTGGAATGAGATGATCTGTAAGGTCCCTTCCAACCCAAACCATTCCATGATTCTGTGATTCTATGAAAGCAGCAGAAGAAACTGAGAAAGAATCATGCTTGCTTCTAAAATCATTAATATTTTGTTTCACATTTTTAATAAACCCACATAATTATATTCCATTATATATTCAATTACTAGACAGTAAGTCATTACTTACTTAGCGACAGCTTGTTCCTGAAACAATTCTAAGTCCTGCTCCATATTACTGATCATTCTTTTACCTGTTGAAACAACAAAAATCAAATAGTTCAGATTCTTAAATGCGTGCATTTACACAGCCAAGTACTGAGATTACCAAAAGTGGTGCTAGCTTGAGCACAGCCCTGGATTTCCATGAAGTTGTTTCGGATCATTCCTTGTTGGGTGCCGTCAATGATTTGCCAAGACACTTTAAAACACATAAACCTAAATTTGTCACAGATTCATGGCTGCATTCAACAACCATGTCTCATACCTTCCCGGACCCTAATTAACCTATATCCAGGCTATAATTGCTGTCAGACACAATACTGGATTCCCACTGACTATCTGCTCCCTTGTTTAGTTGATGCGGCGCTGAGACACGCAGCCCTCAAGTACCTTGGCGGAAAGATCAGCACAAGACCGGTTCTGGGACCAGTCTGGTTCTGTGGGTCCAGCAGGACACCGGGATGTGGGGCAAGCCAGGCTGCGTGCAAGAAGAGCAGCTGGCCACAGGAGGGGTGACAGGGTGGCATGGAACAGCCCCAGTTCCCCGTGGGGACAAGCAGTGGGGGTCTCAAGGGCGCCGGTACCAGTACATATGGATGTGTGGACACTGCCACATGGCGCTGCAGCCTTGGCTCCACAGGGACCAGGCACCCGAGGTGACACTGCCACAGGGACACTGGCTCCACAGGGGACAGGGATCCGAAGTGACACTGCTACAGGGACATTGGCTCCACAGGGGACAGGGACCTGAAGTGACACTGCCACAGGCGCACTGGCTCCACAGGGACCAGCAGCTGAGGTGACACTGCCACAGGGCCACCAGCCTTGACCCCACGGGGCACAGACACCCGAGGCGACACAGGCGCCGGGGCAGCCA